GACAATCCACAAGATGGGTCTCGTTATCCCTCAAGACTAATAAGTAGATCGGTTCACCATCAACAGTGCACTGAATTTTATGAGAAGCTTCTATCCTTTCCCATGAAGGGTCAGACTCAGGGCAGTAGCGAAGCAGAGTCACATTCACAACTGTTTTAGCAGCCCTAAAGAGATAGCAATTCAAGGCCGTAGGATAGGAATCTTTGCCGGAGTCCATCCGAGAAAGGGTCTTCATCTGGGGTTGGGTTGATTGATTGATTCTAAGGATTTGAAACTCACGCTCATTGATGACTATAACAGGGTGCGAACCATCTCCATTGCATTTGAGTTTGAAACGCTCGTGTCCACAGTACTGAGGTCGAGTGTCGCTCCAGAAAGGAAAAGAAAGGTTTTGGGAGATTCCACAGCTAAAGGGTTGACTGCACTCTGCAAACCCTCATTACTATGCAGAAATTACAATCATATTTATTGAATTGTAGCTTACATTCATTATATGATTGTAGATGTCATTAACAGCTTTGTCTGTCTCTCCTCTCATTGTGTATGTCTTCCCACTGCTAGTTTGCCCATATGCAAATATGGTTGCTGCGACACAAGATACATTACTTAATCAGTTACTAAACACAGCACTCCGAGGTACTAAACAGACAATCAAAGACAAAGTATGTCTACTACTACCATTTATGCCCATCAAAGCTAACAAAGCAACATTCTTCACTCCTTCCTCATACACAGTTTCAGTTAAACAGACCGGACCAAAAACTTTATCTGAGAAATAAAAAACAACCAAACAACATCAAGACCACACAGCTATAAATCAATAATAAACACAAGAGGTTGAAATAATGTAGGCCGCTGAGCTGAACGGTCATGGGGTGGGGTTTTATACACAATCATGTGATCATCCACACATTCCCATGCCACTTGATCTTTGGCAAGCTGCTCCCTTTTACTTAGAGGCCTTAATCTAACAGTAACAACAATCTTCTCTTCCTTAGCTTTTGGCCCTCCCGGGGTCGATACAGGCATCCTATCTATCTTTGTAGCTGGAGTTCCAGGAGTTCTGACTGTCATCTTCCTTAATCAAACCTACCCCACTTCCTCTCTTAGAACATCAAGTAGTACAGTTACAGTCAGAGCCTCTCTTCTGGAAGAAGCTAAGAAAATACCCACCTGCAGATCTGTACCGCACAAATCATTATTAACTAAATCAATATATAAAATTGCAAACAAACCCCAAAAAAAAAAAAAAAAAAAGAACAGAATTTTGCTTTCTTAAAAAGAAAAGGATCTGATTATATTACAAAACCAAACTCAATCATGGGAAATGTATTTTATTTATAAAAATTTCACTTAGGCATCATTTTAGCAATTTCTTTTAAAGAAAAATACTAATAAATAGCAGAAAATGGAATTTTTCTGGAAAATGAAGCATTTAAGCAAAATTTAGTTAGTAGAAAAAGTTTCCTAATTTGCAGAGGGTTTCAGTAATCAACTAAAATCATACAAAGAAACTTCACTTCCTTGGATTTGTTTTTCCATTTTAGGATCGAATTTCATCCGAAATCAAAGCAAAAACAGAGCATCAAACCTGCAGAATTTGGAAAGTAACAAGATTTAAAGAAAATCACATACTGACTTACTCTAGAAGGCAGAGCAGGATGATCCAAGATCCAAACTCAGGGATCGAAGAGAAGAAAAATTGAAGTAACTTAGGGATGGAGGATTTAAAAAAAAAAAGGGAAGAAGGTGGGAATCTGGGTTCTCCTTCGGAACCCAATCTGGGTTCTCTTGGTAAGAACACTTGCTCAGCTTCATTCTCAGCCTCCTTTCCTACAGCTTCTGGTTTTCCTGCAGGTAGAGTAAGGGACGAGCGTGCTTTTGGGTTGTCTAAAACTGGAAACCCACAAAACCCAAGTGGTCCCGACTCTAGCTTTTCCGACATGGGTGAGGACGGAATGAAGGTGAAGACAGGATCTGTGGTAGTTCAGTTAATTTTTGGTGTATCGATAACGATTGGCTCTGTTTGGATCTCTGTGTAGCTGTTTTGGAAAAAATGGAGGTCAGGGAAGGAGATAGCCTGGGTAAGCGAGGGACAAGCTCTTAATGCCTGCCAAACCCCATTAAACCATATTTTATTTATTAAACCGATTGTGTGTAGTGAGTGTGTCGGTTCGGGAGTGTCTCTTCATCATTTCCCTAGGAAAAATTATGGACATGATAGACACAATTGAATATTCTTTATTCAATGACCATCCAATACGGAGAACATTTTGTCATGCCACATATCGGAGAAATTATACCCAATCTATTTTTGGTTGTGGGAAATTATAAACATAAAATATAGAAATGTGCATAGTTCATATTTAAATCCAAGTGAACTAATAAGAGTTGGGTTGACTTTATATTTATTAATTTAAAAGTTTTAATTTGTGGTGAAATCATAAATATCAAAGTTTAAAACTTGGCAAACGTAGGAAAAAGGACCTAAACTTAAACTAAATTTGCAATTTAGGTCTCAAAGTTCACTTACACTCAATTAAGATATTAAACTATACAAAATTTTCAATTACGGTTTGATTTGATGGAATTTTAACGGCCTCATTAAATGCCTTACTAAAAAGAGTCACTACCTGTTATTCCTTACCTGTTATTCCTTGCATTGCATGGCAACTATGCGAAACTACATTAAACTCTTGAGTTGCATGGATTGCTTGTAGTGGGATTTTTGAAAATGATGTGGCAAAATTTTGGATGAGGTAGACTCAAACGTGTCACTTTTTAGATGAAATTAATACAATTTTGATATTCAAATAAGATGACTGTAGTGTAATATTTTATTAATTTATAATTAATTTATATAAAAATATAAATTCACTTTAAATATATTTATCACTCAATTGAAATTATTTAAGTGGTAAATGTTAAAAATAATATCTATTTTATATATACGGTAAAGTGGCCATCAGTCCTATCTCCCAAAAAAATTTGGAGTCCCAACCCAAAACGGCATCGTTCTCTTATTCCCAACCCATCCCCTTTGCCTTTCCCTCTTTTGCCTTTGCCTCTTCTGCAATCATCTCCATCTCTATCTCCGATTCCTTTTCCATCGCCTCTAATCTCCATCGACTGCTCCGTATCCTCCGATTCCACTGCAATTCATCTTCTCTGTCGACTGTAACCCCTGATTTTTTTCACTTCTTCTGCAATCATCTCCATCGATTCATCCAATTCCTCCAATTTTTCAGATGGACTCTCGCATACCTAACAATGGGAACCAAAAATGAAATCCATCTTGCAACTTGACAATCTCCTTTCTCAAACAGTCTCCTTCCAGTAAAAGAAAAAAAAACTTTCCTCTTCTCCACTGTCAACACCACACTCAAGTAAGCAAAAATCCCCCTTTCTCCTCCTCGAAGTCTCCCTCTACTACTCTCAAAAACCAGACGGAGGCTCCCAAATCAAACTCGAAAATCAACCAAAGACCCCCTCTTTGATATGATTTTTTCCTATATATACCCAAATAAAAAAATAAAAATAAAATAAAATAAAATAAAATAAAAACTTCTTCCATCAATCATTGATCTTTGCAGCAAAAGTAGAGGACGAAGATGATGCCGATTTTGTCTGGTATAGGCTGTTTTTTTTTTTAGGTGAGGCAAGGACAGGGCTGTAGCAAGCAGGAGTGCAGAGGCGTAGGATTAGGGGCGCAAAGTGCAGGAGGCGCAGTAGGGTGCAGCTCCAGGTGCAGCAGGGCGCAGCCTCGGGTGCAGCAGGGCGCAGCCTCAGGTGCAGCAAGCGAGGGGGCCCAGCAGGGCTTGATCGCCTTTGATGGCTGCTGGTTGAAATGAAGGCTCGGGAGATGAGAGAGAAAAGGCCCAAAGTCAGGGTGAGGAAGAAGACTTTGGCGGGGTAATGGAGATGATTGCAGAAGAGGCAAAGGCAAAAGAGGGAAAGGCAAAGGGGAGGGGCTAGGTTTAAGAGAACGACGTCGATTTTTGTTGGGACTCCAAATTTTGTTGGGAGGTAGGACTGATGATCATTTTACCGTTATATATATATATATATTTATATTTATAAAAAATTGTTAAAAGAAAAAGTAATGCATATTTAAATTGTGTTTTTACAATCTAAATAACTTGATGGTACTTATTTTATATTAAAATAATATTTTTTTCCCAAATAATTAAAATTTTAACAACAATTTATGTATTTATATATATTACATTTAATAAAAAGCTAAAAAGATAAAGATAGACTCCTGTTATTGTTGTTGTGCGTACTTAGTCTTACATACACTCCTGTTACTGATGCAGCCCCTTCTTACTTCTTAATTGCTGTCCTTGCTAACAAAAATTTGAATTTTGATACAACACCAAAGATCCTTCAGTTGTAATGCATGTGACATCTCACCCTCACAGAACACCCCATACTTGTATTGTAAAAGCCCTGTCACAACCCCTTATGTCATGGAAACCCATAAACCCCACACAGGCATTTGATCGAGCACTTCAAGTGCATGACCAAGAGAAGTTCTAGTCTTGCCTTAATTCACCAATATCAAAGATACAAGGATGGCAATCCCATACCAAAAACACGTAGCCCAACAAAAATTAATCCGCCATCCAAAAACACTAAATTTAGCAGACTTACTTTGAAACCAAATGCTTACTTTCACGCAAATCTCTGAAATCAATCGAATATTTATAGGTTGTGGACCTTGATTTTAGTGTTCCAAATCTTGGTGGCGTGTCCCTCGCATCAATTCTAAGAGTGCGTTTGGTGCAGCTTTCGAGTATTTTAATTTTTTGAAATTATTTATATTTTATAAATTTATATTTTTTTTGTAAAAATTTATATTTTTAAATATTTTTTTAAACATACTCTAAACAATAAAAAATCAAATGTTTTAAATTCAAATTTTTCATAAATTTACTTTTTATTTATTTTTTTTTATTTTTAAAAATAACTTTTAAATTTTTTCTCTAATAAAAATTTAAATTTATCACTTATAAACAAAAAAAAAGAAGCAAAAACTCCAACAAACTGTATTAAACAGCCCATAAATCAAAGAAAACATAAAAACTAGAAAAACTCTATCAAATAAAGGCAAAAACCCCTCTTAAGTCCCTCAACTTCCAACAATAAGCGATCAGCCTCTGACCTAAAGGAGGGCAAATAAGCCCTCCAACTTTGTTTAGGCATATTAGCCCCTTCACTAACTGAGCTCTTAACGCAGTTTTTAAATGCCTTGTGTGGCATTGCATGCCTTTACATGTTTCCTTCTTAACTTTACTTTCATTTGTTGATGATATATTTTTTAATCAATTAATTAATATTATATAATATACATATGCTTAGGTGGTATTTTTTTATCAAAATAATGACGTGTTTTAAGTTTAATTAATAATGCATTTTACTTCAATAATCTTCTTAAATAACTTCTTAAATTTAATTAAATCACGTAATTAATAAAAAAAATTTAATATGTTTCTTATTTTCTCATTAATTATTATGAAAATTTTTTTTTATTTTTTATTTTTTGCTTTTAAAGATATATAAAAGTGTAATAAATATATTTTTATCATAAATTTTATTAGAATAATAAATATTGATTTTCAATTGATTAATTATCTAATTAAATTCATATGTGATAATGACACTAAAATGAATGATAACTTTTATATTTTTTATATAAATTAATAACAAAAAGGTGTTCTTTATGATAAAAATAAGATATCTTGACACTTTAAATGTTAAAAGTTTTTGTAAAATTATTTAAATATCTTAACAAATATTATTTTGTGTTAATTTATCTTTAATGAATCAACATAAACAAAATTTATTAAAAGTATTTAAATAATTTTATAAAAAATCCTATCATTTAAAGTGTTAAGACATTTTTAGGAACACTTTTTTTTCATTAATTTATATAAAAAATGTAAAAATTAACACTAATTTTAATGTTATTATCACGTTAAAGAATTTAATTTGATAGTTAATAAACTGAAACTCAACATTTATTCTTTTAATACAAATTTATAATAAAAAATATATTTATCATGCTATTAATTTGTGCTCTAAGAGCAGATATTAAGAAAACTATTTCATAATAATTAATGAAAAAATAAGGAATATGTTAAAAAAATTTATTAATTAAGTAGTTTAATTGAATTTAAGAAGTAATTTCAGAGCATTATTAAAGTAAATGCTTAATTAATTAAAATCATGTCATTTTTTTAGTAAAAAAAATTATCACTTAAATATATATTGTATAATATTAATTAATTAATTAAAAAATATATCATAACTCGAAACAAATGAAGTAAAAGCAAGAAAAAACACGTGAAGGCGTGCAATGCCACACAAACCATTAACAATTGGCGTCACGAAACGCAGTTAGTAAGGGGCTAATTTGCTTCAATTATGAGGTCAGAGGGCTTATTGCTTCTTTTTTTAGTTTAGGGGCTGATCACTTATTTTTGGAAAAGTTGAGGGGCTTAAAAGGGGTTTTTGCCTCGAATAAATTGAACCCTCGACTCTTGAGGGGGGTCCATAAAAATGAAAAAAAATCTTAAAATCATTCCAACCCGAATGACGTGTTCTCTTGGGTTTGATTTCACAAACCTCCAATGTCCAAACCCCATTAATGACATCAGAAATCCAGTGAATTCTGTCATCCTTACCGGATTTTTGAATCCATGTTTAGCTTTGAAGTTTGAAACCTTTGAACATGGGAGAAAACTTTTCAACATAATTTTTTTATATAATTTTTTATATTTTTATATTAATTAATATAAAAAAATATATTAATTATATCATTAATTTATATCATAAAGATACAAATTAGATACACCTTACAAATAAAT